TTATTTTTTAATCTATAACTTGAAAAGATTAAACAAATTATTTTAAAGTTTCTTTCCATAAATTTAAATGACAGTTCTCAAGTGGATGGAAGGCCAGATAAGAGAAGTGACTAGGTCCTCAGGAGAGGGATTGATGATTTATTTGATTTTATATTCAAGCATCTTGTATAGAAGTTATGGTATGATTATACTGTTGAACATTTCTTTGAGTTAAATAGCATAGGAGTGAAGTGTACTTTTAATTAATTTAGAAAAACATTGAAGAAAACTTTAAAATCACAAGGGAAGCAATTTGCAAAGCTTAAGCTTTTCTCCATGCATTACATATCTATTTTTTTTCTATACAGTAAATGCTTTCAAAGGGTTAAAATATCCTGAGAGATGCCTAGCCAACCATTCCAATAAGTATGTTAGTTTTAGAAGAAATATTATGCAATTATGGTTTTTTTTCCTGTTGAAATTGACAGATCTTGACACAGAGCTAACATTTACTGAGCAGTTTTCTAAGTATTTGACACATATTATCTCATTTGATACAGAAAACTCTGGGAAGTAAGTGCCATTATTTTCCCCAATTTACAAATGAGGAAATGGAAGCACAAGAAGTTTAAGTTATGTGTCCAAGGTTGTCTGCTAATAAGAAGCACAGAGAGGATTAAAATTCAGGACATCTTTTTCTAGATTCCAGTCCTAATGCTGCTGTGTATTTAAGAAAGAGAATAAAATTGAATTTAATATAAATTAGTTATTGAAATAGTTGCATATAATTTCAGATTCCAATTTCAATTTGGTAGTTGTGTTAAAATTTATGATTTATGTAGTAATTTTCTATTAAACTATAAAAAAGCTCATTGACCATATGGGATATTGGTTCATATAATTAAAAAGGGGTTTTGTGACATAATGATTTGATATCTTAAAATGCATTTTTTTTACTCTCTCAAAAAGTTAAAATCTTAGAGTGTTACAACTAATTTGCATAAGGAGCTTATTCTAAAATAGTATCCATCATAGAAAGAAAATAATTACATTGGGATATTATAGAGAGTCACTCAGTGTAGTGGGAAGTAGAAGCAGAAAAATAAGAATTTGAATCTCTTCTGTTCTACTTACTAGCTGTATGACCCTAGTTTAAATCTCCAAACACTCTGAACATTAGTTTTCTCATTTATTAAGTGGGAAGGATATAATATCTTTATTACAGGACTTGAGTAAAGAGTGTAAATGTAATGGTGCAGCTTAGAATAATACACAGTAAGACTCAGTAAAATCAACTCTATTATTACTAAGTTTTTTTTTTAAGTTTATTTATTTTGAGAGAGAAACAGAGAAAGCAAGTAGGGGATAGGCAAAGAGAGGGAGAGAGAGAATTCCAAGCAGGCTCTGCACTGTTAGCGCAGAGCCTGATGTGGGGCTCTCACTCACAAACCGTGAGCTCCTGACCTGAGCCAAAACCAAGAGTCAGACACTCGACTGACTGAGCCACCCAGGTGACCAGTTACTATTAACATTTTTATAAAGAATAATTTATTGTGTAAATGAACTTAGATTTTAGCAAAGGAGTTTAGTATTTTTTATAATCAGAAACCCAACTACTTTCTGGATCAAAACCTGGCTTATTTTTTTCAGAAATACCATATTTTAGAAAAACTGCAAGCTTTGAAGTACCAAAATTGTTGCTTATTAGGGAAATATTATGGATACTCCTTAAGCTTATCTTTCAGAAGTTAATATTAAGCAAAATGGAATCCACTCAGGGAAAATGGCAAAATAATACTTTTATAAAAATTAAAATGATTCTTTAATCAGAAAATCTTAGTAGTAGCTGGAAAATTAATTGCAAGATTTTATTTTAATTATTCAGTCTATTATGTGGTGGAAAATAAACAAGGTAAATTAAATTATTTTTTAATTAAGCTTATGAGGTAAAAATAAATCAACACAATCACTTTGAAAATTTTTGGAGTGGATTATTAGTTCATAATGCACAGAGCTATCAATATTTTGGCAGCTCTTATTATGAGCAGTTACCTCTTGGCAACAAAGCAGCTGATACATAGTAATTCACAATATCAAGTCCTTTAAGCATATGTGTTCATTTGTAAGTGAAGGAAAATATTAACTGTAATTGCAGTGGTTATGGATGCCAAAATTAATGAGAACAGTAATGCTTTATCAGTTTTGGTCATTAACCCATGAAGAAAAGTGGATTCTTCTCTATTCATGTTAATAAAAACTTATCCATATTTTTATCACTATATCAACAATTTTAGACATATCTTCCGAAGTTTATTTGTGGGGGGAAATAACTGCTATATTATATATAGTAGCCCAACTGGCATGTACTCCAATCTGTGACTAGTTTAGATAAGTCTTCTGGCCCTGATTTAAGATGGGCCCTGGAGATCCACTTTGGAGCCTGTTGCCATGTTAGCCATACCAATCGCGAGGAAAGGCCTATAAATGTGTTTTCTCCTTCGTAGGCTAAAAATATTTGCAGTCTGTGCTCTACCATCTATGGTGAGCCACTGTGTTCCCCTTGACTCCATTTGATCAGAGAATATTCAAACGTGGACACCGTGGAGAAGATTTTGATTCTGTTCCATGTGATAATGCTGCTTTTAATTAAATGTTATTGTGCTCAATTTGAAAGAGCTCAAACTGGAATCACTGCAGTTCCCTAAAGGTTATATCTATACTGGGAAATGAAATCTGCAACATATTCTTTTGAAGTATCACGATGTATCCTGCTGCATCATTATAATCTTGATAGTCTCTGTGGGCCATGGAACAATAGTCTTTCTATGTGATCCTTGCATCCAGATCAGCAAGGCATTTTAATTCAATGTCCAATTAATGTGTTCATCCATGAGAAAAGATAAGATCTGAATTGGTCTGTTGGTGGTCTTCTTGACACTGATTTAAAAATTCTTCTCAACTAAAGCTTGACACTAATTTTGAGAATTCTCACATAAACCTTCTCTCAAACTACTTAACATATTTATAATATCCATTTTTGAAGTAATCAAGAAAGGATATTTTATTATTTATTTGATGTGATATTATATATTTCTAGTCTCACTTATAACATTTCTATTGATATAATGAATGGATAATTAAAAAAACTACAAGTGGTAGTTCATTATACATAGATATTTTTATACATACATATTTTATACGTAATATTTTTATATTATATAAAAAGCCAGGGGCGCCTGGGTGGCGCAGTCGGTTAAGCGTCCGACTTCAGCCAGGTCACGATCTCGCGGTCCATGGGTTCGAGCCCCGCGTCAGGCTCTGGGCTGATGGCTCAGAGCCTGGAGCCTGTTTCCAATTCTGTGTCTCCCTCTCTCTCTGCTCCTCCCCCGTTCATGCTCTGTCTCTCTCTGTCCCAAAAATAAATAAACGTTGAAAAAAAATTAAAAAAAAAAAGCCATTTGGGTTATAGTGCTAGGTACTGGATGACTTGGATTTAGTCCCAGCGTTGTCACTGACTAGCATCTATCTTGTACAAATCACATAGCTTTTCTGAGCCCAATTCTTTATATGCAGAATAAGCATAATATTTTTCCTTCTTTCCTTCTATTATCAAATACTTATCAATCACCTATTAGGTGCTGGGCACTCTGCTATCATTAGAGATATAAAGATGAGTTAAAATAGATACAATCCCTGTGTTCATAAAACCTATAGTCTAGTGAGAAAGATGGATATCAATCAAGCAGTTACAAATACAAATGGAAATTTCCGTCAATGACAAGAGCTATGAAGTGCTTAAAATGGGGGTGAGTTAGGTGGAGAAGAGATTTGAACAAGTCAAGATGGTCAGGAAAGGCTGAGGAAAAGATGAGTTGAGAACTGACCAGTGAAGGTTTAACTCAGAGAAGAATAAGGAACTGTGTTCCAAGGCCAGGGAACTGCAAATAGCAGGTATGAGACGCTGAAAAGCAGCCGTGGTGGCTGAACAAAGAATGAGGATCAAATAGGTTGTGTGAGACACTTTTTCTTCTTCTTTTGTAAGTTGCAAAATACTATAATATTGTAAAGTGTGAATTTCCATATAAATAATAGATTTGCAGGGCTTTTCAATAGAGACTAAGATGAAAATACAGAAAATAGCTGATTTTGCTATTTATGAAAACCAGAAATTAACAAAGGCTTAATTTTGAGTACACCGCACCCCTGGCAATAAACAGTTAATAAACTGCTAATGTATTCCTGGTAGGAATGGTTGGAGGGGGGCAGGCACAGGGAAGGCAAAGTAAAAATATGGCCTCTTCCTTCAGGAGTTTACTGGTAACTACAAATTTATCTCCATGAACCTACTATATAAAATTATAAAAACAAATCCTAAAAAATATTTCTTCTTCCCACTACTCCAAATATAGACTAAATGCCACTCGGTAGACAACTATGGAAGGCACTGACCACCAGAAATAGAGTAAAAGAAGTCATTAACTTCAACATTAGCTTCTGCTAACACAGAATTAACTTTGTCATTATTGATATACATTTATTGCATTTACCTTGCATTTGGAATTCAGCATATGTGTGTATAGTATACACATGCATATCCATGCCCCTTCACACATACACATATGCATTGTAAAGTACATTATGATACCATTATTTAATTTTCACGTTTTTTTATTTTTGAGACAGAGAGAGACAGAGCATGAACAGGGGAGGGGCAGAGAGAGGGAGACACAGAATCTGAAGCAGGCTCCAGCCTCTGAGCTGTCAGCACAGAGCCTGACACGGGGTTCGAACTCACAGACCGTGAGATCATGACCTGAGCCAAAGTCGGACGCTTAACCAACTGAGCCACCCAGGCGCCCCATGATATCATTATTTTAAAACTGAAATCGAATTTTATTATTAACTCTCAGTGCTAAATATATTACAAACTACTACATATTGAAAACTAACAATCCAGCAATCTTTCCAGTATTTTCCCTTGAGGTCAGACAAATTTACATCATTTCTCTTTTTCTTATCAGGAACAACTCTAACTCTTCTGAGTGAACCTTTTACTACAGGTTAGTATATTAATTCCCGGTTTTATATGTGAAAAAAAATCTAACAGGGAAAATTATTAGTAACTTTGGGTTTTTAAGAAAGAATTTATATGAGAGTTTTGCTTTTGACAAAACGTTGCGAACAAGTAATTTATTAAGCTTTTCCCACTGATTTAAAATTCTTTAAAAAGCCTGAATTTGTCTTGTTTTTGACCAGTTTATATTGGCTGGCTATAATATGGTTTCTAGTTTTATTTTTTTCCTTATCAGTAACTATTAGTAGAGTATAACAGAAATAAATAACATCAAGCTCAAAATTTAAAAAAGTAATATATAGGATAAGAGAAAACATGTGTATATCTAATGATGTATTTTGCTCTTTTAGGCGTTCTAAGTGTAAAAGTAGCAATTAGCTCTTTCATGATATTTCATCATTGTTATTATCCCTGAGTGACAGTGTGATTAGAGCTTAAGATTCCATTTATTTGAAAGCAACCTCATTGAGACAAATATATGAAGACTTAGCATGACCCAATTTAAGATGCCTAGAACATAACTATAAAAAAAAAGCAATAACAACAACAAAATAGTAAAAACTAAACCAAAATCTTTGAGGAAATTATAGTAGAACAAAATCTTAGGGAACTCTGGACAAAAAGTCATTGGATTCACACTTTCATTTTCTGGAGTGGGAACTGACTGAATAGTTAAATCACCCACCCATTGGAAACAAAATCCAAGTATACTTGACATGAGAAGCTCATTTTATGTTTTTCGCAGGTGTTATTGGAACTCCCGTTCCCGTGACCGTCAGTGCTGGCACCGCAGGCACGACTGTAGTGTACCCCGCCCCCACCAGTCCTGGGCACATGGCAGGTAAACTGAATTCAGAACAAGGTATAGCATCCACAGCTAAGCAACTGGTCTCAGGCAATGCTTCTCAGGACAATATTGTAGAAAATAAAGGTATCTGAGTTAGGTATAATACCAGCCTTAGGTATTTTTTATACATAATTAAAATGTAGAACTTTAGGGGGTGCCTGGGTGGCTCAGTCAGTTAAGCATCCAACTCTTGATTTTTGCCTCAGGTCCTAATCTCACCGTTTATACCATGGAGCCCCACACTGGGCTCTGTGCCGACAGGGCAGATCCTGTTTGTGATTCTGTCTGTCTGTCTGTCTGTCTGTCTGTCTCTCTCTTTGCCTATCCCCCACTTGCACTTTATGTTGCATTTATGTATTCAATAATATTTATATGGCACACTAAAACTTCTGAGTTATTCTCAAATGGAAAATTAATTTAATTCACATTAACACCATTAGGTATTTTTATGCCCAGAAAGAAGAAAATAATAAAAGGTCTCAAAACTGGCAGAGGCAGGATTAGAACCCAGAGCTCTTATCCTCCTCTGTAATGGCCCCACAGTTTGTGATCTGTGCATAAGAGCATGCATCCAAGAAAAGCCAGTGAGAATATGCTTATCATTGTGCATCATTGACTAAATTTTAACTATTGTTGGTTTCAAGAATAAAATATTATTGACATTTTTTAAAGCATAGATGATTTTAATTAAAAACAAACAAGCCTGCCCCTTAATCAGTCAGTAATTTCAAACACCTCTTAAAATTCCTCTGAGTCACATTTGCCTCTGCCTCTTGCTCAGGTGTTAAACAGTTTCCATTTAATACCTGCAGTTGTCTACATGGCTCATCTTCCTCCAACACAGGTGTTCAAAGTGTGGTTCCAAGACCAACAGCCTCAGTGTCTCCTGGGAATTTTTTAGAAATGCAGATTTTCAGGCCCATCTGTTTTGTTTCAGAAGCTTTTGAAGTGAAGCCCAGCAAACCATATTAACAAGCCCTTTAAGCAACTGATGCATATCAAAGTTGAGAACATTTCCACTCTTTCCCCACTTCTGTCCCAATTTACTCTTTAGTCAATACCACGCTAGAATGAACTTCCAAAAATTCAACTGTCTTCAGGTCATTCGACAATTGTTCTGATTGCTTTTAGGATAAATCAAAACTCCTTTACATACCATTAAAAATCATTTCTTTAGTATATGCAATGGGACTTCGCTTTACATATTTATTAATGAATCCATGGCCTGGTTTTATTTTCCTACATTTGTTTTCCTCTAGCAGATTATTTTGATTTAAAATTTTTGTTTTAAATACTATAATAAATTACAGTTTACATAAAAATAACATATTAAAAGATATAATGTACAGTAGCACAAGAAACTGGTCGATTCCAGTTAGATCAGTGAATTTACTGAACTCTTAGGGTAATGACCATCTAGTTTATATTTCCAAAAATTTGAATCAGAATTACTGGATCATGATGATGAGTCAATCAGCTATCTTTTTTGGGGATCAGACAATCTGTACAATGGTTTTGAGCAGGGCTGCTCCAAGTTTGGTCCACAAAGGTATGCCATCCAGAACTGTTTGTTTTACTGGTCCATGATGTGGTAAGAATTGAGCAGCAGTTTGACACAGTGATTTCGTATCTGTTGAATAAAATTTTATGTTTTCTTTGGTTTCACTTTTTAAATTTTCATTTCTTCACTTTTATGGCATTCTCCCCCTTCCTCCTCCCAAAATAAGGTAGATTGGAAACTTTACAAAATTTCTCTCTTACCACAGTTGATTTGAGAAGTACATTTGGAGTATCAACTCCAGGGTGAGACTGCCTGGGTTTGGCTCCTGGATCTGTTGCCAAATAACTGGGTGGCCCGGAGCACTTCACTTCACCACGTCATCAGTGGGAATGATAATACTGCCAGCTCTGGAGGATTTCTATAAGATTAAATAAGTTGATTTAGGTCTAGTGTATTTCTGAAACTGCTGTATTTTATCAGGAGGAACAACAGGCAGCCCTACTGCACCAGCAAGAGGAGGTGAAGACAGCACACCCAGGGAACCAAGCACAGGGGCGACAAGCCCAGGGAAACCAGGCAAGTCAGATACACATTTTAGCGCCTATTAAATACACTGAATATACCACAGGTTGAATTAAAGATTAAGCTCTATGTGGGGCACCTGGGTGGCTCAGTCGGTTAAGCATCTGACTTCAGATCAGATCACAGTCTCACAGTTTTTGAGTTCAAGACTCGCATCGGGTTCCAAGATGCCCTCGCGGAGACTGCTTGGGATTCTCTCTCTCTTCCTCTCTCTCTGCTCCTCCCGCACTCTCTCTTTCTCTCAAAATAAATAACCTTAAAAAAAGATTAAGCTCTATATGATATTAGGCTGATTTTAGATATCTAGCTGCAGAAATCCTAGGAGTCCTTTAAGATTCTTTTGTCTTGGAAACCTCAATACTGTCCTATCAGAAAAGAGTGATATATAGAATCCTGCAACTCGAGAAGTAAACCCCTTTCCCCACTGTTGTGTCAGGGACCCCAGAGGTTTCAGAGGGCTTCACCACAGCACCTGGGCGTGAGAACACAAATGGAGACACAACTGCCCCAGGCTCAACCGTGGGAGGCAGACCAGGTATGGAAGTGCAAGGTCTAAAGCATCTTCTTACTGACCTTAGGGAAGCTGCCAGTGGCTTCTGAGTGATTAGTTTTAATTATTACTGCACGTATTCAGTATCCCTGTTTTTATGAGCTTAATGGCAGTGTTTCTCCAACATCATCTCAGATGTGATATAGAGCAAAACATGATATATTTTAAACTGCTAGATTCCTGCTTGAGGACTTCTGAAACTGTGAGTCTGGAGTGGGATTAGGGTCATGGTTTCCAATCTTGGCTACAAATTAGAACTGAGTAGAGAAATGAACAAATATATGAAACAATATGTAAACAAATATATGAAAAGTATTTTGAAAGCAGAGAACAGCACAATCTGTTCTGCTTCACCAAAGATCATGATTCTTATTTAGTTTTCATTTTGAAAGGGACTACTGGATCATCAGCTAGTGATACAACTAGATCCCCAAGTAGTGAAGTGACACAATCTGAAGGCAAGTTAGGTGAGTAGAGAATGTCATTCAGAGACCATGGTTTTTGTAAAAACAAAACAAAACAAAATCCCCCAAACAAAACAGAAGAGTCTTTTGTCAGAACCCTGCTGATTTAACTTGTTTTGGTTAATCAAATGCCCAAGAAGGCTGTTGAATGGTATAAAAAGAATTAAGTTTTCAGTATGATATTTTTTTTTCTGGTTTCTCCAAATCTTCCCTTCAAAAATGCCAAAGTACTAGATTAAAGCTACAGTAATGTACATGCTGTCCCAGTACTGTGTTTATCAAGTGTAACAGGAGAACCTGTTGGAACTACTACTGGAACTGGTGATGGCATCACAACTAGATGGCCTTTCACTGATTGCAGCCCAGCTAGGAATTCAGCAGACAAGGCACAGGCTCACCTGGGCATTTTGGTGGTGCTCCATCATGAGCTTAGCTGAGACCTCAAGTTTTTATGAGACATTTAAATGAATTTAGCAATGGCTATAGTTTTAATGGCTGTTATTTTAGGACAAATGAATATGAGTAGCTTGGGCATTTTCATTACAACCATCGATGAAGACTAGAATTTCCAGATGAAAACACAGGATGTCATTTAAATTTGAATTTCACATAAATAAAGAATACTTTGTTATAAGTATGTCCCATTGGGATGATTGTTATTTATCTGGAATTCCAATTTAACTGGACGTCTTGTGTTATCATTTGCTAAATCTGGCAACCCCACTGTGGACTGAGCACCATTGTTCTTCTCAATTAGGAACAACTGAAGGGGAAAATGCAGCCACCACTGGAACTGTTGGTGAAAACACTTCCCGAGCCTCAGGTACTGAATGAACATAATCAGAATGAATCCAGACAAGAGAAATGTGATTTCTTTACTTATGATTTTTACAGAGACAAAGTTTCCTGAAGAATTTAATTATCATTATTTGTGTAATGTCAAAACTGAAGAAGATCAGAAACAAATCAAGAGGTATTTGTTGTGTGTGTAACATCAAACTGATGTTACACAGAGCATCAGACTGATGCTCCAGAGAACACAGGAGAATAGTAATGTACTTGTTTTCTTAGAACTTGTTTTTTAAGCAGGAGAAATGAATATTTATATACATGCAAAGGCAAATACCATGTAAGACAGAAAATAGTCAATATCAAGGAAATGTTCGGTGACAAACATTGGAGTGGGAACTCAAGAGGAAATTCTGGTAAGAGAACTGATTAGATAGGGTTAAAAACAACAGGATTATTCTAGTTTGAACATTATATGATATGATCAGTGTACTATATCTATACACTTTAACAAGCAAAAACTCAAAACATAAGTGAGTTGGGTGGAATTTTAGAGATATATTCAATTTCATGGGAATAACAACAGTCATTTTTCAGTTGTTGCGGTAATATGTTTGAAAACAAAATCTTCTCTCAGCCCAGAGACCCAGTCCATAAAGGTAGTAGAGAAAGAAAACAGTTTTATAATTGAATGAGCCTTAACCTAAAAAAGTGATGCAAATTACAGACAATTTACTAAGAGATTGTAAAAACAGAAAGGAATCTCACCAAGCAGACAACCCTTTACATACATATTCTCAAGAAAAATTATTACTAGTTTTGAAGTAAGAGGACCTTAAAACCCCATTTATTATACATAGTTCATCTTAAATTCACTTAGTAGTTGGGATGACAATTTGGTTAGTTGATTTTATACAGGAGAAAATAAACTCCAGTCTTGAAGGAGAAAGGTTTTTTTTTTTTTAATGTTTATTTATTTTTGAGTTTATTTGAGAGAGAGAAAGAGAGCACCAGCAAGGGAGGGGCAAAGAGAGAGGGAGACACAGAATCTGAAGCAGGCTCCAAGCTGTCAGCACAGAGCCCCAGACTGGCTTCAAACCCAAGAACTGAGATCATGACCTGAGCCAAAGTCTGACACTTACCCACTGAGCCACTTGACAAGAGGAAGTTTTATAACTAGAGGGAGATAAGGGTACTATCTCCCTTGATGTTTACATTTCAAAGAGCCCCCAGGTCCTTGAGAAAGACCTAGAATGACCTAGGTCATTAGGCCTATTTAGATGTTTTGAAGATTTGCACACATTTCAAAGAGAAAAAAACCTAAAATTACAAATTTGTTCTAAGCAAAGGAAAGGGAAAGTCTCTTTCCTTACTTTCACCAGAAAGAATTAAGCCTTTTGTTTTAAATTTTTGTTTGTCCTTATATAAGCCATCCTCAAAAGATGATCAATTTCATATTTTAATTACCTAATTCTTCTTTCTATTGTAAAATTAAGCCATGCCTAGGGTATTGCCTAAAGCCATTTCCAGAACCAGAGGTGACAACACCCCTGGGGAAGCAGGCACTAGAACTCCAAGTCCTGGGAAAGCAGACAAGGCTGGTCCTGACTTTCCAGCTGTGCTCAACCATACCTTCCTCAGCAGGGTGTGATCTGGACTAACCTGGTTTTTAATTTGCTTTTATGGTCTTAGAATTGAGTAGCATTTAAACTCAAAGACCCAATGGGGAAAAAGGAGTCAGGGAAATGTTGGCTGCATACATTAGATCTACACACACTTCCTTCTACAAACCATAAATATCACAGAGCCCACACCTAGAGTGGTTAGAAGGAGAGAGGAGACTAAGACTTCAATGACTGGGAAAGATGACTCTGGGGCTCATAGTGGAGCTGAGATTCAGGTCAGGGCATCCAAGAAGAAAGGGGAATATAAAGAAGTGCTTAATAGTGGAAGAACATAATAGCATCAACTAGGATTTATCCCTGGAGGGAAAGGGCCGTACCCTGAATGGAGACTACTGAGAGAAGATATGAGACCTCACAAGTCAGAGCTCTTGTGGATGTGGAGTTGAAAGAAATAAGATTGGAGAGTTCATAGAATGAGGACTGGCAGTCATAGAACCATGAGAAGGCACTAGACTGTGTGAAGGCAAGGGAAGGGCACTGGAAGATAGAAGAATCCTTGTGGCCTGGGTGTCAAAGAAAAAAGAGAGAAATATTTAAAGCCGAGAACCTCAAGAAAACAGGATAGTAATTAAGAATTAGAAGACAGACAAAGGAAAGAAGCCACTTAAAAAGAAGTTTCTCGGGGTGCCTGGGTTGAACATCCAGCTCTTCATTTTGGCTCAGGTCATGATCTCATGGTTCATTAGTTGAAGCCCCACATCAGGCTCTGTACTGACAGCATGGAGCCTGCTTGGGATTCTCTCTCTCTCTCTCTCTCTCTCTCTCTCTCTCTCTCTCT